CAGCCACTTTGGAAATCAGTATGGCGACGCCTCAAGAAAATGGGAATGAGTCTACCACAAGATCCAGCAATTCCACTCTTAGGCATATACCCAAATGAAGCACACTCATACAACAAGGACATCTGTTCAACGATGTTCATAGCAGCACTATTTGTAATAACCAGAAACTGGAAGCAGCCCAGATGCCCCTCAACCGAAGAATGGATAGAGAAAATGTGGTACATTTACACAATGGAGTACTACTCAGCAGAAAAAACAATGGAATCTTGAAATTTTCAGGAAAATGGATGGAACTAGAAGAAACCATTCTGAGCGAGGTAACCCAATCGCAAAAAGACAAACATGGTATGTACTCACTCATATGTAGATTTTAGACATAGTGTAGGGGATTGCCAGCCTACAATCCACACGGCCAGAGAAACTAGTAAACAAGGAGGACCCTAAAAGAGACAAACTTTGTCCCCTGGAGAATGGAACAGGGTCACCATCCCCTGAGCAATTTGAGAACATGGGAAGAGGGGGGAGGGAGCTACGAGAATGAGAAGGGAAGAAAAGGAAGGATGCAGAGGTCATGAGGGAGCAGGAAGGTTGAGTCAGGCGTAGATTAGAAGAAAAAATATACGACAGGTAAGGTTTTAGTTGGGGGGTGGTAGAGGAGGAAGGGAGGGAGAAGGGAACTGGGATTGTCATGTAACTCAATCTTGTTTGTAATTAAAAAAAGAACTTAAAAAAAAGAAGAGACACACATCATTGTGGAAAAATTCTCCTGGGAATTGTTTCTTCAGGGTCTAGAGGTGGCTGCTGTTGCACATGGTCAAGCTGGTTACTCCAGTGATACTGGTTTTGAAGGCATGAAAGGGTCATGGAGAGCAGCTGAGGCAGGGGTGGAGTCCTGAAGAAGACCCCAGAAAAGGCCATTGGTAAACACAAAACCTTTATGAATTTCATGTCATTCCATTTATCGTATGGTGGCTCATGTTTTGTCAACTTGACACAAGTTAGTGTCATTTGTAAAGAGGGAAACTCAATAGAGAAAACGCCTCTGCAAGACTGGCTTTTGTTCATGTCAGTTGCACATTTTCTTCATTGATGGTTGATGTTGAGGGTGAGCACTGTAGGTGGTGTCATCGATGAGCAGGTGGTCCTGGATTATATAAGAAAGTAGACTGAATAAGCCGTGAGGAACAAGCCAGTAAGCAGCATTCCTCCATGGCCTCTGCTTCAGTTTCTGCCGTCTGCTTCTGCTCTCAATTCCATCAGTGAAAGTGGAAGTGAAGGTGACTCTTTTGATCATGGTGTTTTATCACAGCAATAGGAAACTCAGCTATGACATCTCTCAGCATTTTCATTGTCTTTGTATCTTTCTATAAAATAAAAATTAAATTTAAGCATTGTTTAAAAAAGATAGTCCTCAAATAATTATTTCAGTCCTGTGCCCAGAAGAGACAGATGGAACATAAAGCATCCTATTTTGTGTGGGGCTTAGCAATGATTATTTCTATGTGGTTGTTCAGAAAATTTTCCATAATGTTAGTTCCTAGGCTTGCACTGGAACCATCATGCTTCCTTTATCTGATCTCAATGCCAGATGGTAGACTATAAATAGAGGTTCAGATGAGGATGATACTATGAAAAATTACAATTTTTTCTCACTGAATGTCTTCCATGTTAAACAGCCATTCATCTCTCCTAATAGTAGGAATAGGAAGGTCCCAATAATCAAGTCATCTCTCTTTATCTAAGAACAGTGATTTCTTAGAGTAAGTGTAAGGAGGTGTCTTAGCTACTCTTCTAGTGTGCTTCAAGAAGACATCATAACCAAGGCAACTTCAAAAGAGGGCATGTAATTTCAGTGGGTTGGTCTATGATCATGGCTAGGAACATGGAAATAGGCAGGTAGGCATGATGCTGGAGCAGTAGCTGAGAGCTTACATCCTGATTGGCAAGTTGGAAGCAGGGAGAGGGATAACTGGAAATAGTGTGAGCTTTTGAAATCTCAAAGCCAACCCTCAGTGACACACCTTCTCCAATAAGTTATACCTCCTAATTCTTCCTAAACAGTGCACCAATTGGGAACTAAACATTCAAATATATGAGCCTATGGGGCCATTCTTATTCAAATTACCAAAAGAGGCCTATTACTTTCCCTACTTTATAGGTAGATAACTGAGGCACAGAATTGATCCCTGTCTGCGGGAGGATGCATGGCTGACAGATAACAAGAGCTGGCATGTCAACCCAGGTTGTGTGGTCCCATAGCTCGTATCTTCTATTGTGATTACCTTGCATTTCTTAAGTGGTTCTGGATGGATAATCCATTTGTTTTCATCTTTCTGAAGTCTCCTTCAACTGATATGTTCAGATGCCAAGGTGAGTGAATATATCTATGTTTTAGGTTCATCAAGAAATTGTTTTCTTACATATTGTCCTCAGGGAGTTAGATAAGTGTAAAATTTTTGGTTTAAGTGTGAAAGAAGAACTTGTTTAAGACTTACAGTAAATGTTTATAAGTAAAACTTTTGCTAGCAGGTCAAATACTTAATTTCTGAATCAGAAGAAAATAATTCCATACTGACTGAATTAAAACTATTAAATCTGTTAAGATTATTACTTTGAGACCGTACATTTTTCAGAACAATGTTTACAGTTGCTGCTCCTTTGCACATTTAAAATTAGAAATATTTATAGACTATAAAATATATTTTAAAGATACTAGATTGCATATTAATTTCCATGATAAAAGTGAATGGTATTCATGAATATCTGCTCTATGTTTTTCCCTGTTAAATCTCATCTTCATTTGAGGTTAGCCTAGGCTTCATAGCCAGATTTTGTCTTGAAACAAACAAAAAACCCAACTAACCAAACAACCAACTAAACAAAAACAGAATGAAAGGGCTGGAGATATGACTCAGTAGTTAAGAGAACTGGCTGCTCCCCTAGAGGACTCAGATTTGATTCCCAGGAACCACATGACACTCACAAACATATCTGTTGTTGGTTAGCTTGAAGCCTATTGAGGGACAGTTACTTGAACTCTATTAAATCAACATCCTTAGAATGATGAAGCCATGAACACATTGACTTTTATATAGATCCATAAAATGCATTGATTCGTCTATATCTTGGTAAAACAAGAAATGGCTGTCTGCTCCTTTACCAAACCTGTTTCAGTGTGGATTGTTGATAGTTACTGAAAAACAATGATTGTAGCCAACACATTTTTCTAAGTGATAGAACATAATTTAATGTTTCAATTTTATTTGACAATTAAGATAATAATCCCACCAAGTGGAAGAAAAAATTCTAAGGAATACTTTGCTTTAGAAAGGAGAAAGAGGGCTGGAGAGATGGCTCAGTGGTTATGAGCACTGGGTAATCAATAATGAGAACTGGAGTTTAGATCACATTACCCCCATCCAGCAGCTCAAAACACCTGAACTGTAGTTCCAAGGTTTATGATACCCTGTTCTGACCTCAGGGGCCCCCTCGCTAGATGTTAAGATACTTCTACTAAAAAGCACCATATACCTTGGTGGTAGAATCATAGAAAGATCAAGTAGGAACTGGATTGGCAGCATCCTACATGCTAGTGAGCTTTCAAAGTGCCAGAAGATGTTGTGTAGGCTGCTGGAGAAGAACTTTTTTTAACCAATAGCCTTTTTTCCATTCATTTATTTAGTTCATAAATAAAGTCATGCACAATTATGATACAGAATACAGTATGTTCACAATGGCATGGCTAAATTAAACCAATTAACATGTTATATCACACATATTCATCATTTTTGTTTTGAGAACACTTAAAGTATACTATCTCACAACTTTTAAAATATAGCATATTGTTATCAACCATATTTATCATGCTCTCAGTAGACCTCAAGACTTCACAGAGTCCATGCCTCTTGTCCAACTGCAGTTTTATATCCTTAAACCAATCCTTTCCCCATTGTTAAAAGACCCACATTGAAGCCTAATAGCCATAATTCTGCTCTCTGTTCCCATAAGTTCATCATTTCTAGGTTACACATAAAATTGAAATTGTGTGACATTTGTCTTCCAGTGTGTCACTTATTTTTTTTGGCAAGCATATAACTTTACTACTTACTAAAGATGAAATCAAATTTGCATGCACAGGTGAGCACTAACTGAAGCACCTTGGATTCATCACATATTTGAGTTTCAATTAGCTTATATATATGTATATATTTATATTTATATAAAAAGAGCAATAATGGCAATATGTTATGCATCAATATTAACCAATAGTCTTACTCACCTATAGGCGCTGGGTGACACTAACCAGGCAAGATGAACCCATTCATGCAATAGTGGAAAGTGTTTTATGGGGGTGTGATGGTTTGAATAAGAATGGCCCCCATCAGCTCATGGATTTGAATGCTTGCTCACCAGGGCGTGGCACTATTTGAAAGGACTAGAAGGTGTGGCCTTGTTGGAGGAAGTATGTCACTGGGGGAACCCAAGCCATCCCCAATGGCATTTTGTTCTTGTTGCCTGTGGATCTCAGCTACTTCTCTAGCACCGTGTCTGCCTGTGTGCTGTCATGCTCCCCACCATGATGGTAATGGACTAAACCTCTGAAACTGTAAGCAAGCTCCACTTAAATGCTTTCTTTTCTAAGAATTGGCCATGGTCATGGTGTCACTTCACAGCAATAGAGTACTGACTAAAACAGGATGTAATCAGCCACTTTCTGATTGTATTTGATATTCTCCATAGAGGAGGGATGGATACATCTGGCATTTTAAATACAGTCAAAAGCTCATGGCTAGGGATGTCATCAACTCTACTAAAAAAGTTACTACTAAAGTAAAAATAAAGTAAAATTATAAAAACAGAAACTTGTTTTTTTTTTTAAAGTAGGAAAAAAGCACACCATAAAAACTGGTGTGTGTGTGTGTGTGTGTGTGTGTGTGTGTGTGTGTGTGACACACCATAAAAACTGGTGTGTGTGTGTGTGTGTGTGTTTGGAGACAGTGCATAAAATACCCAAGGCTGGCCTTGAACTCACTGTATAGCTAATGATAACCTTGCACTCTTATTGATCCTCCTGCCTGTACCTCCTAGGTACTGGGATTAAAGGTATGTACTACCATGCCTGGCAGAATTACTGTTTTTTTAATTTCTTTCTACATCAATAATGAACAGTCATTCTCTCTGTTTATTTTTTCCAGATCACTAGTAACATTTTTATCCTTATGAATAAATTATCTTATAAATGAGTTAAGAAACACGTTATATTCTATTTTAGTGCTTTTCAAAATAGCAGATAATGTAAAACTACACAAGCTGTTACGGATGCCATGAGCCAGATGGTGTTGCTGGTCATTTCACTCTATGGTGAAAAGTAGTGTATCTGATGGGGAAAAACTCATAGTGAAACTCTTGGAGAGGCTTGAAGAGTTTCTACCAATACCAAACTGTGAACTCTTGGAGTTGGAGCAGACTATATTTTCTAGATTTTCCCCTTGTAGCAGGTGACTAGTGGGAAGAGTACTAAATAGAAGTTTTGCATTTCTACTTAAATAGCAAATAAGTTGTGTGAATTAATATTCCTGCAGATAATCTACCAAAATTACATGTGGAAGGGTTTCCAGAATTATATACAGACTAATTTACAAAGGAATGACTATGTTTGAATAATATATATCTACATTCTTCAAAGTAAGGACTCAGAAAGGAAATGGGACACAGAACATTGCTTTGCCCATGAAGGTTGTTGTTAACTTTTATTTAGCAAACATTGGAATAAGCTGTGACAGGCATAGCAGCAGGAGCAAGAAGCTGAGAGATCACATTTTCAACCACAAACACAAAGTAGAGGAAGCAAACAGGAAGTGGAGTGAGGCTATGAGCTCTTTTCTATTTTCCTCTAATTCTTTTTATTTTAATATTTATTTATTTATTTATTTATTTATTTATTTATTTATTTATTTATTTATTCCTGACAGCAGTTTCTCCTCCCTCCTCTCCTCCCAGACTCTCCACCTCTCTTCTATCTCCCATCCATGCCTCCTTCATTTCTATTCAGAAAATGGCAAGCCTATCATCCACATGGACAAAACGCTTACCAAGTTACAGTAAGACTAAACACCTTGCCTTGTATTAAGGCTGGGCAAGTATGAGAAATAGGGTCTCCAAACAAGCAAGAGTCAGAGGCAGCCCCTGCTCCCACTGTTAGGAGTCCCACAAGAACCTGTCCCCAGTGACATGCTCCCTCCAGCAATGCTCCATCTCCCCATCATCTCTCCAAACAGTGTTACCTGCTGGGGACTGAGTAAGTGTTCAAGTACTTCAGTCTGCTAGGGGAATTCTCATTCATACTGTCATAGTTGTTTAGTGGATTTCCAGGTTGTTTTCCAAGGTGGCTATATTATTTTACATTCCCATCAGTAGCAATAAAAGGTTTAGTTTTCCACCATTTTGTGAAAATGTGCTGACTTCTTGATTTTTTTTTTTAAATTTTAGTCATTAAATGGGTATAATATAGTATGTCATTGTGGTTTGTTTTGTTTTCAACTGACCAATTTTTATCCTCATTCTAAGTTATATTTTCTGTTTCTGTATATGCATTTTTTGATGTCAGATATTTTGATTTTTATATTGTCCGGGAAGATTTTTGTTCCTTTGTTACTGTACTCTATTCTGCAATTAATTTTCTTAAAGACCACTGATCCTGTTGGGTCTTGCCGTTCACATCTGGCAGTGAGTGCCACAGCTATAACTAGAGCTAGTCTCCACAACTTAGGCAAAGTCCTGTGCCCAGCCCTAGAGACAGAATGTGAACTAAACAAAAATGGCCCTTGTCATCAAAATAAATGTGCAGCCCATCAGGAGGGAAAGCAGAGTGAACAAGAAATTCAAGTAACGTAAAAGCACAGAACTGCTGTTTCAGACAGAACAGTGAGCAATCTAGTTGGGGAGCTGTGAGAGGTAGTGGTGTTCCAAAGAGGAAAAGCGACGGAACTAAAAGCTGCAATGCGCACTGCAGTTTCAGAGAGCATACAAGCTGCAAGCGATAAGTGCTTAGACTAGATTCTAATAGTCAGTCACAAGCAGGTAGCTTGTGGGAAGCCCAGCAAAGGATAAGGGGGTTATGCTTTCTTCTGTGCTCCCTGGAAATCTTTAAGCAAAATGAACTTCATCAGAATTGCTACTGAAGCCTACAGAAAAACTCAATGCTATTTCCTATTTCCCAACAAATGTGTGTGTACTTATCTGCCTTATACTTCACTTGAAAAACAAATTTGATGTATCTAAAATATTTAATTGTAAAACAATACATAAAATTAGCATATCTATACCTTCAAGGAAAAGTTTTGAAGGCACAAGAAAGTGAACCATGTTGA